CTGCCTCTGTCTGCTCCCTCTGCCACCTCACTCCGCACTGTCTCCTGGGTCATCCTACCTGCCTTTAAGAAAAGTCTCCTCCAGCCGGGCGCGGTGGCTCACGCCTGTAATCCCAGCACTTTGGGAGGCCGAGGCGGGTGGATCACCTGAGGTTGGGAGTTCAAGACCAGCCTGACCAACATGGAGAAACCCCGTCTCTACTGAAAATACAAAAATTAGCCAGGCTATGGTGGTGTATGCCTGTAGTCCCAGCTACTCCAGAGGCTGAGGCAGGAGAATCGCTTGAACCCGGGAGGCGGAGGTTGCGGTGAGCTGAGATCGTGCCATTGCACTCCAGCCCGGGCAAAAAGAGCAAAACTCTGTCTCAAAAAAAAAAAAAAAAAGTATCCTCCAAAGACCTCTGACCTCCTCCTGCCAGACAGAATTGTCTGCTTTTTTCCTTTATGCTTAACACAGCCTGATTATTTTTCAATTATATATTTTTTGAGACAGGGTCTCGCTTTGTTGCCCAGGCTGCAATCAGTGCGGTGGCACAATCTCAGTTCACTGTAGCCTTGAACTCCTGGGCTCAAGTGAACCTCCTACCTCAGCCACTGAATAGCTAGAACTACAGGCACGCACCACCTTGTCTGGCCTCAATTATATTTCTTACCACATTTATAACAATTATGTGCTTGCATGTCTGTCTGTCCTACCGGCTATGTGAGGAAATGAGAGCTGACCTCAGCACAGGACCTGGCACACAGAAAGGATTCACTGAAAAAACACACTCCACGGCATGGAAGGAGGACTATGACATACAAATCCAGGTCACACTCACGTCAGGAGCCACACACCAAAGACATTGATATGTCTATGTCATACCATTCTAATTAACTAGATCCTAAAATTCAAAGGTACACCAAGGCTGGGCCTGGTGGTATGCACCTGTAATCCCAGCACTTTCGGAGCCCAAGGCAGGAGGATTGCTAGAGCCCAGGAGTTGGAGACCAGCCTGGGCAACATAGTAAGACCTTGATGCTATGAAAAAGAAAAAGTAAAAATTAGCCAAGTGTGGTGGCACATGCCTGTGATCCCAACTACTCAGGAGGCTGAGGCGGGGTTTACCTGAGCCCAGCAGTTTGAGGCTGCAGTGAGCTATTACCACCCTACTGCACTCCAGCCTGGAAGACAGAGCAAGACTGTCTCTTAAAAAAAAAAAAAAGTAAAGAAATAAATGGTATACTCAAAAGCAGATGATTCATGGCAATATCATCCACATAATATAAGCACATTAGTTAATGGGCAAGCTATATTTAAAAACGCTATATTTTATTTTATTAAAAAAGAGGACAGACAAGAAGATAATGTTTGTATTAGTTACACTGATGACCAAAGCCTTTCTGTTGAGCATCCTGCTACGTCTTACTTAACTGTGTTTTGGAAGATGAGGTCTAACCTGGCGAGATCATCTTCCTTTCAGCTGAGCCACAGGAGTGATGCTCATGGGGCGTCTGCTGTGACCGGCAGCGGACAGCAGTGGCCATGCATGGCAAGGGGCCAGTGGGGAGGGCGGCCAGGCTGCCTCCTCTGCAGAAAGTGAAGATTTCCACCCCCCGCCCCGGCCCACCCTGCTCCTCAGAGGAGAGAGGCCCGTCACAAGGTCATCACCAGACACAGCCTTTTTCCTCCTCTTTTTGTTTCTACCTCTCACTGGAATGGCAAGAAAAAGCAAGACGGCAAAGGGTACAGAGAGGCGCCTAGTACCTGGCCGACAGCAATTCTCAAAGCAGCTGCAGCTCTTCACAGGAGAGCTGTGCTGTCAGCTGGGGAAGAAAGAAAAGCAAAAAAACAAGGCGATGAAGCATCACCCTAGAGAAGCTTTGACACTCAGGAAAAGATTCGAAGAGAAACAAGGGTCTACTGCAGGGGTGGGGGCGGGAGCCCTGGTAACAGTGTTCAGATGGGTGTGGTCTTTCAGTTTTGCTGTAATTGTGTATTTTGACAACGACGACTATTAGGGTCCTACTATCTAGCTATTTTAATAAAATGCTCCATCATTTTTTTTGAAGAATAAAAAAGTGCAAATGTATAAAGCATAGGAATAACAAACAGTCATGCACCTACCAACCAATAAACAAGAATTTCACGTCATCTCTGCATTTGGTTATTACAGCCTTTACAAATGCATTACTGGCTTCAACAGTATATTTTGTGTATCTTCACAAAATCTTGTGGTCTGAAGCCAAGAGATAAGATCAAACCAAACGGATAACTACTGACCCACCTGTGGCCACCTCACCCTAATCACCCGCCAAGTGCATGTCTAGATTAAAAGCTCGCTGGGGACAGGCTCATGTTTGAGCATGTTGCGCCACGTCTCACACAGTAGGTGATCCATGAATGCAGAATAAATGAATGAATGAGTGAAGAAAGGGAGAAATCCGGCCCAAATTTCTCATAGTGATTACCAAGATGATGTGGCCTCAGGCACACCATAACTGCTGTGGGCTTATTTCCATATTGTGACAATACAAGGGCTTGACTTCCTAAACTGGGAGGTCCCGTCCACCACTGACACCCTGCACCGATGACCAGGGTGAAGACAGGAGCCTGTCAAAGTTGCTGCACCATGCCGGATCCCAGACAGAAGGCCCACTCCATATAATCAGCCCCGATGCTTCTGTTTCCTTCTTTGGAAAATCCTCAATTTCCATCCAAGTTCTAAATGAACGAGAATCTTCTTTCTCAGACTGTGTGAGTTTATGGGGGAAAGGCATAAACCTCAATTTCACACTGAGATATGGAGATGTATTTCCCAATTGTTTCTTATATCCCTGCTCTTTAGATTAAAATTTCCTTTCTACCGCAACCACATCTTCCACTTTCTCTTGATTCTTTTACCTTAACTGTGAAAGTTAACTTGAGAAGGAACGTGCAGATGCAAAGGGGCTAGTAAAAATGTCATCCTTAAGATGCCCTGGAGGATATTAACAGTTATAGGCAAAAGCCTGAGGAGAAACAGGCTATTTGCAGGGTCTCATTGTATCTCCCTAAGAGATGCGTTAACAACACAGAGAAAATACTGACTTCGCAGTGGAGAAAGCTGGCCAACAGTGCCTCAACCAAGCGACCCAGGTTTGCAGCACCAGCCGCTGGACAATATCACACACTTCCTGATCAGATGATCTGAGCAGGGCTCAATGGCATGCCTGCAGTTTCTGTGCCAAAAAATGCATCCCCTCATCCTAATGATGAGAAAGTACCACAAACCCAAACAGGAATATTCTACACAAGACCTGTCCAGTGCTCTGGACGTGTCAAGGTCATGAAAGACAAGGAAAGATCAAGAAGCTATCATGGACTGCAGGAGACCAAGGGGACACAAAGACTAAACACAATGGGGGACTCCAGGCCAGAACCCAGCAGACAGGAGCGCTAGAGGAACCGGCAGACAGGAGCGCTAGAGGAAAGATGGGTCACATTCAGACAAGGTCTACAGTTAACTGATGCTTTCATACCGATGCCAACTTTAGTGTTAATAGTTGTACTGTGGTTGTGTAAAATGTTAACGTTAGGGGGACTTGGGGGAAGAATAAGGAAACTGAACTGAGGGGACTATGAGCAGACTCTATAGCACCTTTCAGATAAATGAGAAAAATAAAAATTACTCTGCAGGAAAAAGATGGGTAAAAGACATGAATAGGGCGGGGTGTGGTGGCCCATGCCTGAAATCCCAGCACTTTGGAAGGCCAAGGTGGGTGGATCACTTGAGGCCAGGAGTTCGAGACCAGCCTGGCCAACATGGTGAAACTCCATCTCTACTAAAAAATACAAAAATTAGCCGGTGTGGTGGCAGGTGCCTATAGTCCCCACTACTCGGGAGGCTGAGGTGGGAGAATCACTTGAATCTGGAGGTGGAGCTTGCAGTGAGCTGAGATGGCGCCACTGCACTCCAGCCTGGGTGATAGAGCAAGACTCCGTCTTAAAAAAAAACAACCAAAAACGACATTTCCAAGAGCAAAATACGAAAAACAATTCAAAAGTACCTCAGTGAAAGAAGGAATGGATCCTAGTATCTTTTCACAATGGAGCATCGGACAGCATAAAAAGGAAAGAACTGCACCTATGTGCCTTGCGTGAAGAAATTCCAACATGCGGAGTGAAAAAGGTAAGTCACAGAAGCATATATACTACACAGTAAGAAACGACTTATATGAAGTTTAAGAATCAGTAAAACTCAAGACTGTTGTGTTTACAAACAATAAATGGATATTATGGCAAAATCATAAGAAGGGCAAAGGATTCATGACTTCACCTTGACTCTGGGTGCTCAGGGGGCAAAGGGCTGTGAGAGTCAGAGGCATTTCTGGATACGCTGGGTGTGTATTAATATCAGCTGTGCACATTTGTGCTGGTTATCAGAAAAATGTACGTTTTATTTTATATACAGTTAATGTTGAAAGGTAGGAAAAAAACAAAAGGCAAACAGGCAAAACCCCCCAAATTTTCTGGTTACAGATTCAGACCCTAAATGAGTCTAAATAACTGGGCTTTGTGAAGTTTTTAGACCTTAAAACGAAAGGAACAGATCTGAAGGGAACAACCGGGTGGGGTCGGATTCGCTTCCGAGGCGCTGATCTGAAAACGTTCGTGATCTGCCCATATCCACGTGTCCAAAGCTGGGAAGCTGTGGTGAGGGGACGTTATTTCCTACTATGAACAAGATTTCTAAAAAAAACGAAATTCCTTGGGCTGTGCCAATTCGGATGATTCTAAGAACCCTCCGTATTCCCAGAAGAAAGCTATTGATCTTGCCTGAGTGGCTCTTGCTCCCTCCCTCTTGAGCCTTTTATGTAGCATCTGCCTCCGTCCTGTGTTTTGGTTGTTGATCATTACAACTTACGGTGATTGAGAGCTTGCTTGGACTGTTATACAGTTTTTAAGGAAATTCAACGGTCCAAAATAGTTGTGTAAAAAACACACTCTCAGGGGCCCAGAAAGGCGGCTTTCTCACTCACCAGCTGGAACTCGCTCCTCCGGCTGAAAGCCTCCCTGATGCCAGAATCCCTCCAGAGTGCGCTCAGGGCCGGGACGTACAGCTGGAAGGTGGCGGGCTCCACGGGCAGCCCCGCCTTGTTCTCGAAGGCCATCAGGAACATCCCATGCTTCTCATTTTCAGAATACTGCCAGGGAATGCCAAGCTTATCTCGTGCATCAACAAGAACCCTTGAGCCCTAGAAAATAAAAGAATTAAGAGAGGATTTGATTGCGTTCCGAAGACTAAACCACACTAGAAAACCTCAAAATGGGTATCGATTGTCATAACACAGAAAACTCACAAGCTCTCAAATGTGCAGTCAGAGTCTGTCTCTTGGTTTGCTTGTTGTGGCGTGAAATGTCTTAACTCCTAGGAATATAACTTCACCAAGACAGACGCACATGGCCGAGGACGGTGGCTCACACTGTGAGCCTACCCTTTGGGAGGCCAAAGAGAGAGGACTGCTTGAACACAGGAGTCTGAGACCAGCCTGGGCAACAGAGCAAGACCCTGCTTCTACAAAAAAATAAAATAAAATGAAAAACAGCTGGGCTTGGTAGTGACACACCTGTAGTCTCAGCTGAGTGGGGAGGATTGCTTGAGCCCAGGAGGCCAAGCCTGCAGTTATCTATGATTATGGCACTATATTCTAGCCTGGGCAACATAGCAAGACCCTGTTTCAAAAAACAATAATAATAATAGAAAAGAGATGTACATAAGCACCACAGAAAGAAGTCTGCATTTTGCCATCACTCATTTGCAAAGCTACTGGAAAAGAAACAACTGAGCAGGGAGGAGGTAGCAACAAATTCAGAAAATTTCACTGGAAAATGAAGTGTATCAGTAAAAAGTCAACTTTTTTTTTTTTTTTTTTTTTTTAGATGGAGTTTCACTCTTTTGGCCCAGGCTGGTGTGCAATGGAGTGATCTCGGCTCACTACAACCTCCGCCTCCTGGGTTCAAGCAATTCTCCCGCCTCAGCCTCCCAGGTAGCTGGGATTACAGGTATCTGTCACCACGCCTGACTAATTTTTTATTTTTAGCTGAGATTACAGGCACCCACCACCATCATGGCTAATTTTTGTATTTTTAGTAGAGATGGGGTTCCACCATGTTGTCCAGGCTGGCCTCAAACTCCTGACCGCAGCTGATTCGCCTGCCTCAGCCTCCCTGCCAAAAAAACGTTTTAACAACTATAGTAGCCCCCATCCCTTATCCGCGGCATAGGTTCCAAGACCCTCAGTGGATGTCTGAAACACTGAACAGTACCAAGCCCTACCTGTATTGTTTTTAAAGTTTAATTTATGAACTAGGCACAGTAAGAGATTAATAATAATAGCTAATAATAAAATACAACAATTATAACAATATACTGTCATGAAAGTTAAGTAAATGTGGTCTCTCCTTCTCTCTCTCAAATGTGGTACCACTGTCCGCGCCTATTTTTGGTTGGTGGCTGGCTGCGGAAACGGGGGATGACTGTACTGCTCTGAGTACTACCAGCGCTACTACGGTCATCGTCACTGAAATCTGGCAGCTCCTCTATTCCAGAAGACACAACTGCTTCTTCCAGCTTAAAATGGGTGGGAAAACATACAAATCCAGACAGTCAGCAGTCACGAGACAGGAAAAGACTAAAATATGACAAGCCAAGCAGCCCGCCCACCAAAACGGGAGCCAGGGGATCGTGTTCTAGATTTAACGTCACCATTGTTTGTGATGAGAAACTACTTTTCATTCTTCTGCTTATTTCCTCATTGTTAAAAATAAAGTTAATATTTTTCTGCCCCTTCTTACCTCACCAACAGGGTCAAGGGGATGAAGAAATAACCTAAACTAAAATAGCATTAGGGAATGCAGTCAGCCTTTGGAAAATATTCTGTCTCAGCAAAAACAGCACCCCCTGAGCAGTCAGGAGGTCTATTCCACCATTCTTAGACTAACGCTTCGAAATCAGCAAGGCAGTGTCTATGATAACTTCCTGTGTTCTTCTGAGGGGCACGCTGCATGCTCTCTGGTATGGTCCACACTGTGGGATGTACAGAGTGGTCAAGGGCCCTGAGAAGGCAATCAAGTGCATATCTGTCCATCTGGAAAAGCCTTCTCATCTCAGAGCAAACTGGGGGACTCAGGCCAGCTGAGAGCAGCATCCCATCCTCTAGGACAGAGAATACCAGGGTCAGCTATTCACTACGTACTTAACCTATGTTCTCTTTTTTTGGAGACAGGGTCTTGCTCTGTCACCCAGGCTGGAGTGCAGTGGCATGAACATGGCTCACTGCAATCTCGACCTCCTGGGCTCAAGCGATCCTCGCCCGCAGCCTCTCGAAGAGCTGGGACCACAGGCATACCTCATTATGCCCGGCTAATTTTAAAATTTTTGTAGAGTCAGTGTCTCACTATATTGCCCAGGCTGGTCTCAAACTCCTGGGCTCAAGTGATCCTCTGGCCTTAGCCTTCCAAAGCGCTAGGAATGACAGGTGTGAGTCACTGCAGCTGGCCTTTTTTTTTTTTTTTTTTTCCCCCCTTTTTAAGTAACAGTTTTACTGTGCTATCATCCATGTACCATAGAACTCATCAATTTAAAGTGTACAAGTCAATGATTTTTAGTTGGCACTTATCCTGAAAAGCTTAATTTCTGACATCCAGGGCAGAGTAGATGAATCCATTCTGCCTCCTTCGTCTCTCTCCTGCAGCATCAATTTGGTGCCTGTAACTTCCGCTTCTGCCTTGAACCACTGAGTCAGATGTAATGATGACCAAAGAGTAGTTACACCTCTCCTCCAGACCCAGCTCACCAGGACGGTCTGGTTTCTCCTCCAGACCCAGCTCACCAGGACGGTCTGCTTAGAGATGTTCCCTAAACTTCCCCCCGCAGGACCTCGTCTGTCTGCCATTGGAGACCATGCCTAGTTCTACCGATCCACAAACATTTGTTCAATGTGTTCGTTTGTGGGGGAAACAAACTTTAAGAAACAGTATCTGACCCCCCAGAAACTCAGAATCTGGCTAGAAAGACAAATATATGGATTAAAAAAACCCACCCATCATGATTTTAAAAAACCTCAGCAAACTAGGAATAGAGAAATTCTTCAACCTCATAAGGGTGAAAGATTGAACGCTTTCCCTCCAACACTAGGAAAAGACAAAGATGCCTACTTCTGCGACTGCTATTCAACACGGTACTGGAAGTTCTAGCCAGTGCAATAAGGTAGGAAAATGAAATAAAAGATCATACAGCTCAGGAAAAGCAGCGGGGAAAAAAAAGAGAGAACAGATTAGACAGAAAAAAAAAAAAAAAAAGAAAAGAAAACACACAACTAAACCTATTTGCAGATAAAAAGATGATCTATATAGAAAATCCCAAATTAATTTACCAAAAAAACTCCTAAATAAACGAATCCAGAACAGTTGCAGGATATGACAACACACAAAATTCAGTTGTCTTTCTATATACTAGCAATGAACACATGGGAAGTGAAATGAAAAATGCACTACTACCAATCACTGAAATAATGAAATAGGTATAAATCTAACAAAATATGTGTAGGACTTACGTGCTGAAAACCGCAAAATGTTGATGAAAGAAATTTTTAAAATCTAATAGATATACCACAGTCATGAATTGAAAGATTCAACACAGTATCAATATCCTTAAATTGATAAACAGATTTAGCACAATTTCCGTAAAATCCCAGCAGGATATTTTGTAGATATAAATACGATTATTTGAAAATTTGTATGAAAAAGCACTAAATTAGCTAGAACAACTTTGAAAAAGAAAAGTGGGAACAGTCTCTCTGATTTTAAGACTTATTGTATGGCCATGATAATCAAGACTGTGTGGTATTGGTGAGGTGAAGACACACAGATCAATGGAACATAACAGAGAACCCAGGGATAGTCCCTGATACCGCTAGCTGAGTTTTATAAAGGTGCAAAAACGATTAACAAGAGGAAGCCTGGTCTTCTCAACAAATGCTGTTGGAGGAATTGGACTTCCATAGGCAAAGAAAATTGGAGGGAGGGGAAAGAACCTTGACCTAAACCTCACAGCTTTTACAAAATCAAATCAAAAAGTAAAACTATGTATCACATACGAGAGTATCTTCAGGATGTAGGGTGTGGTCAGAGTTCTTAGATGTGACTTCAAATACATGATTCATACGAGAAAAATTATCAATAAATTGAACTTTATGAAAACTAAAATATTTTGCTTTGCCAAAGACCCTCTTAAGAGGCTGAAAAGAAGCTGTGAACTGGGGGAAAATGTTTGCCAATCACACATCAAACATATCTGACAAAGGACTCATTTAGAATATACAAGGACATTCAAAACTCAACAGTTAGGCCGGGCACGGTGGCTCATGCCTGTAATCCCCACACTTTGTGAGGCTGAGGGGAGAGGATCGCTTGGGGCCAGAAGTTCGAGACTAGCCTGGGCAACATAGTGAGACCTCGTTTCTAAAAGAATATCAAACAAATTAGGCAGGCATGGTGGCGCACGCCGATAGTTCCAGCTACTCAGGAGGCTGAGGCATGAAGATCGCTTGAGCCCAAGAGTTTGAGGTTACAGTGAGCTATGATAGTGCCACTGCACTCCAGCCTGGGTGACAGAGCAAGACGCTGAGATACATACACACATACCCAACAGTTTAAAAAGCAAACAATCCAGTTAGAAAATGGGGCAAAATTCAGCAGGTTACAGAATGGAACGAAGAGGAAAAAAAATTTTTTTTAAAGAAAATGAGCAAAAGACATGATGAGATATTTCACTGGAGAACATATGCAGGCAGCAAATACACAAGTGAGAAGATGTTCAACATCACCAGACGTCAGGAAAAAGCAGATGGAGACCTCAGTAAGACACTGCTATACACCTGTTAGAACAGCTAAAAAACAAATCAAAAAACCAGCGACACCACCAAGTGGAGGTGAGGATGCAGAGACGCTGGACCTCTCCTACACTGCTGGGGGAATGTCAAATGGCACAAACTAGAAAACAGTTGGGTGGATTTGTAACTACTAAAAATGCAACTCCCATACAGCCTAGCAGCTGTACTTGGGTATTTATCTCAGAAATAGGAAAGCTGAGTCCACACAAAACCCTGTAATGTTCACAGCAGCTTTGTTCATCATAGCCCCACACTGGAAACCAGCTGTGGTGCGCCATACCATGGACTATTACCCAGCAATC